AACATAAATTCGGTATCAAATAAATAAGAGACAAAACTTGCAACAACATACTAAAGCTGTGCTGAAGGCAGACAGCCAGGCACTTAAACGTCAAGTGATTCACAAAACCTCAGCTTTTCTGCTTCGTGTTACATGCACTTGGATATAGTGTTTATGATCACTTCTTGTTCTTGCCCAGTGATCACACAGGAAAAACAGAGCAGAATTAAAACTGCAGGGACAAAATCAATTCTAGCACTTTCTAGCTTTAGTTAATGCTGTAGCAAGTATGTACTATGTTTTATTTTTGTCATATTACCACCAATGCACTTTGTTGGTTATGGCTAGACAACACCTGCCTATTTTAAGGCCACATTTTCAGTGACTCCAAGTTTGCTAAAAACTTTTCTTTGGAGTATGATCACATATACTGTGCCTCCAGCTGATTTTTAGGAAAAACAAACTAAAAATGACTCAGTCATTTCCAAGAATGAGTCATGTGGAACTTGTGCTGCTTTAATTATATTCAAAGATTTCTCAGAATTTTTATAAAGAAACTCTTAACTTCTTCACATTTCAGAAACAGGGACATGAAGTTTAGCACTGGTATCACTGTTGGACTTTTTGCTCTTCCTTTGAAAAAACCACATATCTGGGCATGTATTGAACCTTTGAAAAGAATGAACTTACACATGCTTGCCAGACTTGCTTAGTGTCCAAAATTTTCAGCTTTGTCTCCATTGCACATGCTGCACAGAGTGAGCTGGATGGTCCCCGCAGCAGGCATCTGATTGCCAAGCTACCACATACTAGAACTGAAACAGGGTAGGTTATTTCTCCTCTGGTTTCAGGACTCCCAGGATTTTCACTCCATCAGCACAGAATAAAGTACCACACAGTTCAAACGCAGAGAAAGCAAAGACTGATTTGGGTGAGAAGGAAGATGCAAGTTACCAGAGAAAAGAAGACAGGCAAGAGTCTGAGATCAGATGAAATGAAATGAGGTGAGAATAAGAAACAAGGTTGGGTGAGGAGAGCAGGATGATTCAGACAGGGTCTTCCCAGCAAAGAGGAACTGCCCAAGGATAAGCAGTCCCAGTTTGATTTTTTTGATTTCTATCAATTTCTTAAAGGTCAGACAGCTGAGAGGTCAACAGGCTATATCTTCTGGAACAAGAGAAAAATCACCCCACAGCCTACTATTTTGCTAAGATCCCTCCATAAAAATACACAAAGTCCAGCAGCCTGGAGCCCTGAGCACTTGGGCCACGCTCAGAGCTTGGCACTTCAAGGGTAGGCGATGGCTGAAGAAACCCTCAGCCACGGGGAAGGGGAGTCCATGCTGACCAGCGTGCTAAAAGGCAGCAAGGAGCGCTCAACAGACCACTGCTCCCCTCCTTCTCAGCTCTGGGCTGGAGAACACCCCACCACACTTTGCTTAGCGCAGCCTGGCCCAGCAGGGTTTGAGGAACGTCAGAACAGCAGTGGACCTGGCCAGGAAGCAGGGGGCTGCAGCTGGTCCCCCCAGCCACTCCAGGACCAGCCTGGTCAGGGGCCACAGGCAGCACAGGGCTGCAGCGGCATTTCCCCATCGCCGCCCTCAGAGCACAACCGCGGTGCGGTGACACGCCAGCACCGTCACAACACACAGCTCTCAGCCCACCCCGGCGTGGGAAGCCTGGGCCACAGCTCCCCTTCACCCACCGGCTGTCCTCCCCCAGGGAAAGGGCACGTTCTGCAGTGGGTGAAGGAACAAGGCTGCAGCCCACTGGGGTGGTCCTGGAGGAGAGGAAGACGCCTGTTTTCACAGGAGCAGGTTACTGCTCTGAGCAAGGTGTCCTCTACAGCCATGTGATTTCCTTGTGGACAGGGCACAGAGTGCCTTCAGCCCAGGGTGGTATTAGCCCCTCAGCTGCACACAGACACGTAGCAATGCTACAACCACGGCTTTTCAGTTACTGGAATAATGCGTAGCACCACACTCTTTATAAGAAGTGTGATGAGGTAATCACAAAAATACAGCTCAGTTTTCACTTGTGTTTTCAGGCTAAACAGCTTATGTCACTAAATATTACATAAAGGCAGTATTAAGAAGCCTCCTCCCTCCCAAAGTCAAGATTAACAATTTCAAGACACTTCCCTCCCCCCCACCACTTTGTTTTGTTTTTTTTTTTTTTTCCTTTAACTCATTAAGGCAAAATTCTCTTCTATTCTACTACTTTCTCTTAGTTTCTACAGGGACATCCATTGCAACAGAAGGAAGTGTAGGTGTCTTCACATTAACTGTTTCTTTGCTTATAGCCAAGAAATAAAACCACAAGAGGTACTAATTCCTGCAATGAAATTTCTTGCTCAAATTTGCTAACAATACACAATTTCAGTAAGAGCTGCTCCTTTTTAAGGAGATTCATCATGCATTCCTCACCCCTCCCATCTGGAGCTCCAAGCCACACATACAGCAACCAGCTAAGAAAGCAGAGAGAAAAGAGCCAAAGTTTGCAGGAAGTCTTGTATCAAAGAGCCTCCCTCACTCAATCTTTATGCATAAGTAACTTTCCTTTCACTCACTGTAACGCAGGACTTGCTCCATAAACAAAGGAAAACATTTAAGTTGAATTCTTGCAGTTTGAACTTTATTTAAAACAGCTGGAATCTAATCTGCATAGTCCTGGGGCAGTATGGAACTGCTGCAACATCCAGGGATACTCCAGGACTGTGATGCATGCCACTCGGCACCAGAACAAGCGTTGAGTATTTCGTACATTAAGTTAAAAGCGCGTGATCTCATCTATGCCGGATCAAGTCCGAGAAACTAGTAACCTAAATTCTTTCTAACCATTCTTCTTAAAACCCTAAGAGTAAAAGGAAGAAAAAAAAAATTAGAAGATAACTGCAAAGCAAGATTAAAAAAATAAAAATCTGTGTAAAGGCTTATACTTTGATATCCATGAGCTAGGTTAGTTTGAGACTAGTTGCAAAACAGCCCTTAACAGTCTTGGAATACTCAAGTGGCAGAATTTGTTTAAAAGCATGGTAATATTACAGGGTTGTAGACTGTTACAAAACACTTTTCATATTTGGTTTGCTGTTTATCTTATCACTTACTTCAGCTTTAATTCCTTCAAATTCATGATGGATTTTTTTATTTACACAGGTGCTGAAGTTTTACACACACTGTAACTAGTACACAGACTTGACAATATTTAAATATCATGGTTTAACACGGGTCATAAAACCGAGGTAACTGTTTTATAAACTCAAGGTGTAGTTCTGCTAAAAGCCACTTAAGTAACATGGGTTCTATTTCTTAATTTTAACCTGTGACTAAACCTAAGCCTTGCAGTCTAAGTTTTGGGTTTTTTGGAGGGGAGAAGAAAGAGTAAGACCTTTTAAACCCACTAAGGCCAATTTTCTAAGAGAAAAATTGCACTTGAAGCAAGCTGGAAACCAGAAGTAATAAGGAAAAAAGTTAGTATTTTGTGATAGAGTCATTCTTTCTCCACAAGTTTGAAATACTAGCAGTAGAGGAAATGCTAGAGGAATACCTTACAAGATGTGCCTTTTCTTACTCCTTTACAGCCTTTCGGTCTTATCACTAGGGTTTTAGGTGGTTCCTTAAGATGATCGGAGCTCAGAACTGCTGTTTAAGCCAAGCAACTAATTTAAAAAGAATTCAGTGGTATCTGTTGTCTACAGAGCAAACTGAGACTTTAGCTGTCAAAGCAGTTGCAAACTCCACTATGCAAAGGGTGTTGAGCTGGAAATGCTAGAAGCAGGAAAGTAGTGTTCCTAGTCTCCTCAGATTTACTTTAGCATGACATTATAATTTTGTAGAACATGGTTTTTTTGTAGCACTGTCCCCCCCACCTTACATTTTGTTTAGTTGTTTGGGTTTTTTAAGCAGATCACAACTGCATTTTTTTTTTTTTTAAAAAAAGAGACTGAAGATTTTAAATTTCTCTTTGGAAGATAGTATTTTACAGTACATACAAAAATACTCTGGAAAAAACATACAACTTCATTTACAAAAACACCAAGTCACAATAGATAGATAGCATAATGTTTGTTTCATATGATCAAAATTTCTCCCCACCCCTCAAAAAACCCTAATGCACTTAACTGGGTAAGTAGTGTTACCAGTTTACAGAACCAGACTTAAGACTACTACAAGTTGTCATATAACCATTTAGAACAGCCTTCAGGGTTTATCTGAAATAATTTTCTGCATGCCAGTTGCTTTCAAGACTGCAACTTGCAGGTGGGTAGTAGTGTCACAACAGCCTTGCAATGTTTAAGCACGTCTTTAGCTGTGTGTTCTGACTTTAGCTTTACTACCCAGTGACAACAAAAAACCCTCAAGTCTCATGTTTGAGCAGTCTTAAGACAAAAATCAGGTAACATGGCATGGGATATGTCTAGCATCTCCATACCTTAATAGCATGCTCTGCTGCATTTTTCTTCAATATTTAAATTATTTATGGGCCTCCATGGGAGGCAATACTTGTGTAGTGCATGGCTGTGCTAGACAGTGGAAAGCTACTACCTGAGGAAGCTGAGCACAATTGTGATAGATGCACAGGAGTGTACGTGCCAAACGAAAAAATAATTTAAGATAAGAACAATATATGCACATGAACTAGGAAAGCACACACAAATACAAACATGTTCATACAAACTTGAAGCCAGAATGTGGTTACAGTGACTAGTTAACCCTGTTCACATACATTCTGAATCCAAGTCACAGGACAGGTTGTTTTTTTGTGGCTTTTTCAAAAGCCGTTTCAGCTAGTGACAGTTAAGACTTTTAAAAAGATTAATAAGGATAACTGTTACCAGAATATGCAAAGAGGAGTTCAAAATGAAGCAAGTATCCGACAATACTATAAAATAAGACCATGATTTTAACTGTCCAACTGCAGTATTGCAACAATAACCTATACTTTGTTAGTAACAACAATACATGTTGATAATGCAGACCACTAAACAAGTGATTAGATCGTCTTTACCTGAAGAGATACTGGTTACCCATTAAGGGTAAGTTTGATGGATCTTTTAATAATACGAATACTATTTGTTGGAACAGGAGATGAAGAATCTGGTAGTTCTTTACTGGGAAGCCTCTACAACACACAAAGAGATGACACAGAAAAGAAAGGAAGTTTTAAATTCATTAATTCAGTAGTAGCAGCAGATAAACCCTTTCTTAGGTGAATAGATCAATATTCTTTATGTAGTGAAACAGTATGGCCCAAAACCAAATATTTACAGCGAAGGATTTTTTCCCCACACCACTTTTTTAGTTCCCACCAGTTTACAGAGAAAGAGCATTTTCCTCTCTGCACACTTATTTCCTGGTATCAATTGAGATAATTACATTCCTGTGGGGCAGGAAATAAGTTGCAAGCTGCTCAACAGCGTAACAGAGGAAGCTTATTATACTTCTGACATCCATGGATCAGGAAAACAGAGTGTCTCTACTGTCCAGATTACTTTCAGTCTTATAACCCTCAATTTCACAACATTTTATATGACACAAGAGTTAAAGCCACTTACACACTTCAAAGCTTCCAAGTCTTGTCCCAGAATTAAGTATACAAGTATATACGATAAGAGCTCAGATCACCTTGGGGAAGATCTGTGAGGAGTACAGATCTTTTTGCTTTAACAAAAAAGCAAATCAGGAAACAAACTGTCAGTGTTTGAGCATATGGAAACATGGTTTTTCAAGTTCAGTAACTTGGAAACTTTGGCTTCACTTTTGTGAGTAAGCCTCTTAGGTCATTGTTCAGCTATTCAATCTGGTAGAAGCATGATGGCAAAAGCTTACCAGCTACTCAGAACCACCAAGTTTACAGGGATTAATAGTACATAAGTCTTTGTATATAAAATGAAAATTCTGCTTTACCTATGAACAAAGGCACAATAAATAATACCTGTGATCTTGATGTGTTGATAAATGGAATCAGCATGGATTTTCCTCCAAGGACACCCTAAAAAAAAGTCAAAAGGGATTTATTAGGCAGTACTGTCAAATTTATGACTCGAGAGACAGCAAGTTCTGGCAGCTAGGATACTTAAAACCAGATACATACATGCATTGACAATCTCCCTCTCATTTTTGTGGGGTGTTTTGGTTTTTTTGTATTGGTGTTCTTTGGGTTTATTGGAGGGCTTTTTTGCAGGGGGTGTGGGGAGGTGGTGGTAGTTGGGTTGGGCTTTTTTTGGCCCCTTTTTTTCTCTCTCTCTCTCCAAGCCCTATAAGCACACATACAGTATTTCAGGTATTTCAACCTTCACTCTACCAACAGGACCACACCTTGTTTTGAGGGTATACCCTCAAAAGTTTATGCTTGAGTAGCAAGCTACACTAAATACAGAGCCCTTTATCCTCCCTTTGAGAGGCCAAATGCTTTAGTCTTTATAGTAGTTTTAGTTCACATCAGTGAATTAAGTGGTTTAAAAAAAAAAATCTAATTCTAAACATGGCAAGAAGCTAAATACTACCAAATCATGTAGTAGTAACATATAAAAGACAGGTTATACAGGTGTAGTATTTGGGAAATGAAGACTGAAGTAAGTTAAATTAAAAAGCATATTTTTGTCTACATCAATACACATGCAGAGTATTTATGTGAGGTAGCCTAGGCACTAGAACAGTCCATTCAGCTTTTCGGTTAGTCCACTGAGTAAAACCACTTCAAAATTACATTTACTGTAGATCTTCTGATATCTTCTGGATTGCCACCATCTTTGAATGCTGAATTCTGGCCAGTTAACTAGTAAGAACAGAATACACACAATTAAAATAATTGCTATACTAAAATTACCTTCATATTTGGGTACAGCTTCCAAACAACACATTACATGTTTTAGTGGCCGTTCTTAAAAGAACATTTAGACAAGACTACCATTACCACACAGGAATCTCAAGACTCTCAAAAAATCTTACTACCCTAACCTCAAAATATTCAATAGTAGATCTGCACGTTGATTTTTCACAAGTGACAAAATTGAGGGTTTTTTTCTAATTGTTCTTTGCCTCTGCATCAAAAGAGAGGTCAAGCCACAAGAACAGCTACTTAGGAGATTTACATATACAGCAATAAAACAAATCAAGCATTAAATCTAAAGCTTCCACAAAACCAAGATTTAACAAGCAACTCCACACCATCATTTCAACAGTGGATGCTCATGAGTATTGACCTATCAAGTAGGCTGCTGATTTCTAAAGCAGCAAAACTATCAATAGGCATTCAAAAATCATTTGCCAGAACAAGATTAGCTCATACTTTTACATTTGTAAGACTCATATCCTCTTCATTTTGAGATTTTTTTTTTCTGAATTGTTTTAAGAACTGCTTCCAAATGAGCCAGTTCATTCAGCAACTGGTCAATGCAGTAATATCCAAGTACAGCAGTATTTGGAGACCCTGCCACTAAACCAGAAACAGTCACTAGTGCCAGATCATAGAAAAAATTTTAACAGCTATACTTTATATCCAAGACAATTTCTTGTATCTACATTAGAGTAAAACTATAATTATACTTAAATTTAGATTCCTGAATATGTTGGGGATGTATATATGGGTTTCTTCTCAGTTATTTCATTCATTCTACATCAATAATTAATACTACTTCAAACCCTCCCTGGCCTAGCCCCCTTTCCTTACCTTTTCTCCATCTATTGGTTTTTTGGGGCATTCTTCTGATGTAGGTGAATGACATCCTTTAGAGGTCACTGAATAAGGTCGTTTAGGTGGAGCATTCTTAGGATCTGTAATTGGAGTCCCACTTAATTCATGCTGTCCTTGGACAAAATGTGGTCTGAGTTGAGAAACTGCATTATGTCCTGGAACGGCATAACCAGTTAGAGGTCCTGATGTTCTTATTGCAACTGTAGACTCAATTTCTGTAGAAGACACCAAGCTTTTAGAGTTTTAGAGCCAAGAAATTAAAGACTGCATTCCACCCACTACATCAATACATACTTGAGTCAGTAACAGGAATGGACAGTCCTTTAGACACTGATGGTACAGCTACATGAGGTATCTTCTCTCTACTGTTAGCACTATTAGGTTTCTGATACACAGCATTTCTGTAAGAGTCAGACACTAGAGTTATAAAATGCTAGTTTGTAAAATACTATATATTTATTTCCAGAAAGTTCATGCAAGACAAACATCTACCTGCTCAGCTCATTGTCACAGCTCTACTAAACAACACAAACTCATAGACCACCTAGCACAAGACCTTTATTTTGCTGAATTTCAGACTACAAATTTAAACTTATTATTTTCTTTAGTGTGTCTCTACGTACTGGTTCTGTTTTCCAGCTCAGTATATCCAGCACTCTTGTGCTACTTTTAATAAATGTATCTGTTCTATGCATACATGCACCCTATTATTTTTTCCCATGCTACTCCTACAGTACCAAACAGCCTGAACACAGCAGGTATTACACATTTGGTAGTATTGGGCTAATACACTCAAGATTACATATTCCTTTTGTGCTGAAGTAGCTTATAAACAGACTGCCCAGGATGTGACAGACACTTTTACTGCCCAAGTTCTCATACTGCTCCACCAAATCAGCAGCAGCTCTAGTGTTTCTGTGGTCAAGATCAGCACTTCATTAGAACTTAATACTGCTTGGCATCAACCATATTTTTGTTAGAAAGAACTGGTACCTACACATAAAATACTCTGGCTTCCAGTTACACACTAACCTAAGGGGATTCATGTTCAAGACCAAGTAACTTCTCTGGTATCATCAAGTTGTTCTTCATTCCTATGTGTTCATGTACATCAAATTAATTTTTCAAGGATTTCTTTAACCTGTCTCCCCCCACATGCCCAAAGACGATGCCAGCTTTGCTCCCAGAATCATTATAGCCCTCCACATACTTACGATTCACATAGACTCAAACAAGAAATCCTAGACCTCGTTCACATTGTGAGTCAGTTAAAAGCAGCTTCTTCACAGTTCTAAGGTGATGGTGCTAACCTTTCTATCTGTGCTGTAGAGATGTCCAGTTTAGATATCTTATTTAATGAAGAGGAATTATATAGCTTTCTGGTTTCGATGTCTCTGGAACTGCCATGTGAAGAAATCCTTTTTCCCTTAAGACCACTAGTATTTTGACTACTATCTGGCATGCTTTGCTGAAACAACAGTTAAAAAAAAATAATTAAGTCTTCAAGTAATTATTAAAGAAAAAAAAATATTACCAGAACAGTCATATTTTTATTATACCTTCTTTCTTTTCTGAAGAGTTTCCACAGGTAAAAAAAGGTGCAGATGTTTCCTCTTCACATGAGCTGCTTCTAGCTTCATACCTTCTTTCAGCATGTTTAAATTGTTAGCCTGCCTGTAAACTACCATGAAATTTAGTACTGTAGGTTAGTGGGGATATTTACATTAGGTATTTGTCAAAGTTACATATGGTTTGTTTAGAAACAGCAAGCCTGTAGGTTTGTTCAGCCTAAATGAAGAGCAAGAAGTTTCCCGCCTAACTAAACACAAAATGCTACCCAAGCACTCCACATTTAGTCTCAAGAAGATGAATGTGACCAAAGATGCCCATTTCACATCCATTACAGACAAAATAAATAACAGCTATTTAAGTGCCAATATGTATTTATGTGCTCAGTTACAGCTGTGGTTTGCTAATCACACAGCTCACATTTGAGTTGATTTTAACCTGAAGGAGATTAATACCTCCTTAATCATTAGTTTTCTTGTTGAGAATAGAGCTAGAGGACTTTCTGAATCAACCCAGTCATGCACAGGTGATGAGAGATCAGACACCATACTCAAGATTCAGACTAATTTTTTATTTGATATTTATGGTGGTGATTGTAGTTTTCTTCTTCAGAGTTCTGTAGCATCATATGATTTCTGTAGTTGAGATGTTAAAATTTTATCTGTCCAAGAAAGTAAGACTGAATTTTAGGGACATCCAACTTATCAGAATCACCGAAATTTAAACAGGTTTTTCTTAACTGCCTGCAAACAGGCTTTGATGCAACTTTAATATGCTATACTAACACAGCACTTATTACAGAATTAATTCACACTTAGATAAGCTTATCTAACAGGTCTGTAATAACCATAACTGGAAAGTCAGCTTACTAACACAGAGAGCGCAAATCAAAGTAAGGACGTGCAACAAAAAGATTTGAAGTCTTTCTACAGGAGACATAGAAGTGAAATGAAAGCACAAATATGAACATTCACACCAATATGAACAGTTGCTTCAAAGCAATAATGTTTTTATGTAAAAGTGAGATAAAGTTCACTTAACAAAAGCCTTCCATACAGTGAGCCTTATATTCTTGAGCCCATCAACTTGAAGCTAATCTTTGTCTTCTAAAAATACTCTTTCAAAGTCAAGACACATGATAAAAAGCTTTCTTGCTCATAACTACTGGTCACTCCTACATTTGCCAAAGGATTTCACACCACTCAAGAAATACCTTTTCCATTCATTCTTGCTGGATTCAAACCCTACATCTGAAATGTCCTATAGGCTGTGCTTCACTGAACTGAGAGCACACAGCTATAATGAAGTTTGTGCATAGAAATAAAGGATTTAACATTAGTTCTAGCCTCTTAGCAGTACATAAGCCTTGTTGACATCATTGACATTTGCCTCATCATTGAAACACAGTGCCAGGGGATGTAATGTACAAGAGAAGCATCAGTATAGATAACAGCACAAGTCTGAGGAATCACCCCACCTGGCTTGAAACTCAGACAAGAGTTTTAAGGCATTTTTCTATGCTTTTCTCATATACCAAAGCACGAACTAAAAAAGGTCAGGTTTTACTGCATTTATTCTTGTTGTCTGAGCCATACAACACACAGCTCATGCTCGTACTATGGACAAACTCTTCATCAGTGCAAAAAAAAAAAAATTTTAAAGGAGACCACTGTTTAGAACTCTGTGTCCAAACACTTGTCACTTCAGAGGAATAACCCAATTTCCTTAGTTCTTCCTCATAACAGCTAGGCATGAGTCTGGCAGAGACCCCCCCAGCCCAGGCTGGGCCAGTGAGCACTGGAGAAACGCCTTTGAGAATCCATAGTTGTGAGGGGAAGGACTGTTCTGGAAAGAAGAAGGTGGAGAGAACCTGGAGGAGACACCATTGACCTGAACAAGAGACAACCATCGGCCTAAACAAAAGGACAGACAAACAGAGAGAGTTTAATTGCTTGAGGAAAAGACAGAGGCCCACACCCAGTTCACCTAATGGAGTAGGAGAAGGCAAAGGAGGTTCTGCAGCCCATGGAGATTCAACAGCGGAGCAGAGACCCACGTGTAGGCCATGGAGGACCCCACGCTGGAGCAGAGAAGCTGAGCAGGAGGGCAAGTGTGACTGGAATTGGGACCCCAAGAGTCGCTCGATGCCAGAGCAGGGGTGGACCCCCAGAGTGGGAAGTGAGTCTGCAGCCCGTGGATGTCCCCATGCTGGAGCCGGGAGCTGAGCCCAAAGAGGTCCGTGACTCCATGGGAAGCTCATGTTGGAACATCTTGTTCCTGGACTTCCATGCCGGGAAGAGCAGCAGAGGTGAACTGACTGAACCCCCATTCCCTGCCCCCTGTGCTGCTGGGGGGGAAGGTAGAGAAATGGGGAGCAAAGAGATTTGAGCCTGGGAAGAAGGGAGGGGTGGGGGAAGGTGTTGTAAGATGTGGTTGTTATATCTAGTTAGATGATTTGCAAACTAAACTGATTTTTCTTCCCCAAGTTGAGTCTGTTTTACCCGTGACCATAACTGGTGAGTGAGCCGTCCCTGTCCTTCATTCCTAATCCCGTGCCCCCTTTGTTGTGACTCCCATCCCATCTCACCAGGTGGGGGGAGTGAGTGCAGGACCACATAGTCCTACTGTGGGTCAAACCACCACATACGTTTTTAAAGGTAATCTTCTATATGTTGCTCTCTGTAGAAATATCTAATAGCTAATACCAGAAGGAAGCACAATTCACTTTGCGAAGAAACTTCCACTAGAATAAGAAAGTGAAATCCTACAAGACTAGAGCAAAACATAGGCTTACCTGTATCTGTGAATGACTGTATAACGTGTGTTAAATCAACACTAACACCTTCTGCATTTTCCACTTTCCTAAACGCAATTCCAAGAAACCACATCGACACGTATCCTCTCCTAAAAAGACAGATTCACAAATCTATCATTTAGGCACAGTTATTTGGATGCTGGCATCTACTCTCAAGGAATTAAGCAAAACAGTTTAGTTTTACACAGCAGTTAAAGATTAGAGTCAGCCCATACTTAAGTTCTCAGGGCACTTCTCTCTGAAGTTCTCCCTTCTTTAAAAAGATCTTACCTGCCGAGAGCCTTACCTGTCAGAGGCCCCCACCTACAAAACAGCAGGTACGTAACTGAACACCTCTCACAGATCAGTTAAGGTGGATGAATATAAAAGAAGTTACAAGACACTAGCCAAACTGTATTTCAGAAAAATAGTGAAACTCACTGTTTACAGAGTTCTTCGTTGCCAGGGAAACACTGTGGCTTTACATGTGCAATAGTTATAAATTCATTCCGCTCCAAGTTTCCAACCAGCACACGAATTTTAGATTCGACAAGGCCAATCCTAATAAGAACAAGAGATATTTATTCATTTTTAACTGTATCCAACACAGTAGTTATATGCCTTTTTATAATACAATGCTAATACAAAAATGCTAACCAATCAATAGGTATTAAGTTTCATTCAGCTGAGTAGATACCAGATTTTTATATCATACACACTATAGTTTGAGGGTGTTTCCAGTGACAAGTTTCTAAAGATAAAAATAAGCTTAACTTTTACTCTTAACAATTCAGATACAACACTTCAACCTATAACCTATGATGAAAATATCAACAAGAAGCAGATACCAGCACCTCTGGCTGCATTTTGAAGTGCAGCTTTTTACCCCAAAGATCAAGGAGAAGAACAGTTTAGAAAAAGCTCAAGCACAACTGTTCAATTACACCTGAGTAAAAATGCAATTCCTCCTGCATATTGATTAGTGAAAAGAGTTGACCCTCTTCTAGCCAAATTGAAAAATATAGCTCCTTTAATAAACAAGTTATCTAGTCAGTCTCATCAGAAACTTACCCAAGTAGTAAATCATGACCACAAAGGTTCTTCATTTAAATGAAGTATCAGCATTTTACCCTTTTACCTAAAAGGCTGCTAACTTTGAAAGCAGTCAGAAATCTGTACGTTCTTCTAAAGTATCTTATGTTGATGAACAACAGATGTGCTATATTTTCACAAATCCATTCAAGAGTTGGTGAACTAAATTTGTTCTTATATAGCACACAAGCTGAAGCAAGTTAATAATCTTTTTAGTTTCACCAGATGCAAAACTAAGCACCATTTGCCCCCATTTCCATCACCGCAAAAACATCAGCTTTTACTGCAGCCAGAACTTTATCATCTTTATTGTGAGATACAATAAGCTTTATTCACTTAAAAACATTCCACGTGAAAAAATATTTGGCTCTAAGCCTTCTTCCCATAACTCCTTGCTGTATACCTAACTGTTACTGACATCAAGCTGTAGCCAATACAATTTTTAGGTGAACATATTAGAAAGTTCAGGTAAAAGGTATGACCTATAGAGCTATTTTTAAACATTAAGTAAGCTGTCTTTTAGAGATAGCACAATAATTATTTGCTTTAAGGCACAAGCTGAAGTTTGAAGTATATCCAAGGTGCCCTCAGAATAGGGCTCTGTTACACAGAGCTATTTTGCTTGCTTACTTGAGCAAAGCAGGCAAAGTAAGCATTTCTTAACAGAGAATACTATCACAAAGTTAAGAACAACCCAAACATTATACTACCTTAATTCCTCACTGTTTCCCCTTATTTCTAGATTCACAGTTAGTCAGCACATTCACATAGGTTAATCAAGTTATTACTGGCGTATCTCCCTTGAGACAGTGACAAATATCATGTCAGAAGCAGTCATTTCCTCTCACTACAGTTGAGGTGGTTCTCACATTAAGTTTCACAAAGTAGATCAGCACTTCTGCCATTTACCTATCTGCTACCAAGCATGCTGGAGTGATCACTTTCAGCACTAAATGCAAGATATTTGAGCACATGACCAGATTATAACTTAGTAAATACAATTTTTCAGCATTCAGATGCTCTGTGCAGACTGTCAAGTTTCACCCAGATGAAGCAGCCTTGTTTCACTTCACTGGAGAAGAGCAAGCTCTAGAAAAGGCTGACTACATAACCAGAGCAACTTAGCATTGAGTGCAATCTAGTCCAAAATTAAATATTACATCTAGTAAAATAGTTATGAAACCAAGTCTCCTAAGGCTGTAGAAGAGCGTTCTTTAAAGTGTAGGGAGGGGTGTGTACCCCAGGGGGTGGACAAGACAATCCATTGGGGTACAGGAAGAAAATATTAGAACTTCAGTGACGTGTAAGTAACATTTAAAGCAAGACTTACCACTCTAAGTGGTGCTCTTTAGAAGAAGCAGTGGCAGTTAGCACAATGTAATGTCTAGAAGAAAAGGAAAATGAACATACTAGCTCAGGACTTTATATACCTTCAAGTGAAACCAAAACTACTTTAAATGTATAGAATATGACTTCTAGACAAAACAGATTATATCCTGTATTCAGCATGGTATTAACTGAAGAAAAAATGATTACAACCTTTAGAATTGCATTCTGCTATATTCTAAATATCATAGTTGATTTTTTCTAATAAAAACAGTATTGGTACCATAACAGTTTTTCTACCTTCCCTCTGCTTATCCTTACCAAAATTCACATGACTACCTCCAGTTTCTGAAAAACAAACATCAATGCCATCTTCTATTTAGACTGCAAGTTAAAACTCACTATGCTAACCAGTAAGTAAATAATTTCACATTCAGACAACAGATTTCATACATACTTGTATTTCTGAAAGAAATTCAGAGGCTCAAAGAGCTTCGCCCAATCAGATTTGCCTTGAAGAATGTCGTTTGTAACACCAAGACCTACAATTAAGGTTGAAAACCTTATTACCATTTTGTTTAAGACTAGCAGAGCATACTATAAACTTTACAAGATAAAGGTTTTGAACAGTAATTGACAGATCAAAAAGCAGGAACTCCCCTGACAAAATACGGGTCTACTATGACAGTTCATTGTAAAGCTGGTCCCTTATTGCGTCCAACAGGGCTACTTCCCAGAGACCTATTCTACCTAAAAGGACAGAACACCTCACAGAATATAACCAATTCAGATTGCATGGTTTCATATAGCAAGAATTATACTTTTAAATCAGTTAATGGAAAGAACTTTACCATGCTTGAATTCCTCTACCATAACTGCTCTTGTTGACGCGGACACATTGTACGTAGAGTTTTGCTGGGGATACACTGGTGTGATGATGGGCATAACGTGATGGCGGTCTGATGGGTTGACCTATGATGTTAAAACAATTTTGTTTAGCATTAGTTTAGGTTAGAAGAAAGTTTAAAGGCTTCTGAATTCAATGTCTACATACCCTTGGGTCCCACACTGGTAAATTGAGATTGTTCTCTTCCGGTGGTTTCAATACCACAGGTTTTGGCCATTCCCTATACAAGAAAAGCCAGTAAATAAGTGTGCATTTAAAACACTGCCATGTAATTCAGAGTAGGACTGAATGTTGTCAATGTAAATCTTACATAAGAACTACTTCTTGAAGTGTTACTTCTTTATGCAAAGTAAAGGAAACAATAGCTCTTACCATTTTGAGAAAACTAAGAAGAACTTGTTGACAAGAGTAGATGCCAATGCATTCGGGTAGAGCTGACATATTCTCGCTACCAGCATGGCCCATGAAACACCACCAAGAAATCCCAACATGTTTGAGTAAATGCCACGTCCTAGAACAGATACATTGTAGTTAGCCTGGAGTCTTTCACTACCCAAGCACATTCCTTCAAACTTACAGCACCAACTTCACAATCACAGAATACATAGCACACTTCAGCTTCGAAGTCAATTATTTTTGCAGTGCAATGAGGCCAAAATTGTTGGTCCTTACAGTGATGAGAAAAAAAATAATTCATTACCACACCACTTCCCAAAATACTGCTACTCTGAAACTCTGCCTACACTGCTACAGCTACTACTTCAACTTCCCTTAAGAAAAAAGTTCTGCTATTATTGTAGCATTTCCTCTAGCCACATGTGCAAACAGTATTTTCTTTTTCCTTATGTATCAAGATTTTATACTTAATTTGGCATTTTTATCATTTGTAGTCGGGTTCCTGCTACGCAATGCAGCGTCTTCTCTTGTTGGCATTCCCCTCCTCCTCACTCTACGTCCATTAGAAAAAAAAACACGCAGAATCCACCACATGGAGAGATCTTGAATCTAAACTAAAACCAGTTTTTAGTTTGAAAACTGTCATTTAAACAGCTATCCAAAGCTGAAGGACTTCTAATTGTTTTGTTTTTCAGCATGAGGTGCCTCTGAAAAGTTTAAAGATCATGAAAAGTCACATTACTCACGTTTTGCCCACAGTTTAATGGTACGGAGCGCTAGCCGAAAATTCTCTTTATTTGGCACTAGACGCAGTATCTCGTCAGTAACTCTGCAGCCTGTACAAAAAAAAGGACAGAAGATCTGAGTAACAGGTACAAGTCAGTTTTATGCTATACTGGATAGCTTACAGTTTAACATTCAAGTCTATAAAAGCAAGTTTGGATTATTTGCTTTGTATTACCTTAAAAGTTATAGATTACACATAACATTCAATATCATTTCAGGTAACTGCTGCCCTCAACAGCTTTTTTTATAGTTTAGACTACAGCCAACAATTTTTAATAAGGCTTTTCTACAGGATCCCAAAAGCTAAGCTAGGCTTCTTTCAACAGCCATGAACAATTAAACCACTCAGTATTAAACAGCAAGCAAGTTCGGCTTCAGGTATTTTAAATATCCTTATTTTGTTTTATGAACTACAACGCATTCTTCTCTATCAAGTGCTCTACCTATTCATCTGAAGCAGTTTCTGTGGCAAATTGGAACAATACACACACTCTGATCAAAGAAACATGAAATACAGGTCTATCTAAACACACAGCTCCTTGAAACATCTATATTTAAGCCCACCTGCCACCTCCTCAGACCTGAAGTATACAGGAGATCAGTTTCTGCATCTTGTACAGAAACTTTGGTTGTGTAATGTGCATTCTCTATCAATTTTAGTAACACTTTTTAAAGATGCTTAAAGATGCTTACCATTTAAGCTCCGTATGCATCTTATGTCCAAGCTTCTCAGATATGAATCATCTTCAAGATCAAGATTATCAGAAACAGTTTGAACAGACAGTCTTGCAAACACAAGATCAATCTTGAGAGGGAAAAAAAAAAGTGCCAACCCTCAGGTTAGAATGCTGCACTGTTCATGAACAGCACACTAGTGGGGCACAGTTAGTCAAGTCTAAGAAGTGGTTAACATTTTTATTTAGAATCACATGACTATAGATACATCTCCCAAGAGATTTATTTGCTAGAAAAGTCAAGAAAATTGCTAGAAGTTCCATATTTTATTTACAGAACCTTGATTGCATCCCCATCTTCTTTTTAAGCTAGGGAAAGGAAGGAGTTTTTTGAAGTTGGAAAGATACTCTAAACTTAGAATTTCCATTAAAAGGGACTTAAAATTAATCATAGAATTAAGATAAGTTCAATCACCTCAACTATACTTCAGCAAAGGAGAGAGCGTTTTCTTTATGCAGTAAACCCTTTTGATCCTGAAATATCTGGTTTTTAGTACAGTCTGAGGCAAGAAAATTATTCTGTGAATGTCTGTACCAGATCAAGGCCACAAAAAGGTCACTGAGTAAGTGTCTTCATGATAGTGCTTATCAAGCAGTAACTTGCTTAGGTACTACAGCATGCAGTTCTTTATTCCCTGTATAAGATGTATTCAAGATACAAGGATTCCTGCAGCTGACAAACCTAGGCAGGAGTCAAATGAGTACTTTTAATTTTCATTTTCCAGATTGTTTGTCTCATAACCTCTTTTTTTATTTGCAAAAAAATATTTAGTCTGCTCACGATCCATACTGTGAACTATATGCAGCCCTTTGTAGAAAGCTAGCTTGTCAGAGGTAAGAAGGGTTGGCAAGGACACTGCCTCTGCTCACCCTCTGCACAGTCCTTGCAAGATAAATGCTATTCAAGTACCCTGGCAGGTTTAGAAAAAGCTGTCCCTGATGTTCCCATGCCTACCAGGCCTCCTAGGGGCTTATTTTCTTATAAGTTCCCATTCTACTGCAATGTCTTCTCCTGGGATAGGTTGTGGTCACACTTTAATTACAGTTTCCTAAATACACTTAGGATACCAATAACCTTCCAAAACAGGACAGTCACAGGCGCCTGGAAAAGGTATCCTATTTCAAAGTTAGAAAAAAATTTACTCAAATAAAAAATTGAAACACTTACCTCAATGCCATCAAACTCAAATTTGATAACTGGTACATATGCATCTTCAACTGCCTATAAAGGAGAGGAAAACTGCATAAGAAACCACCTTTTGCTACTTTAAAGTTTTTCCTAAAACATGATACAATCTAGAATGTACACTGCTGAACTACTCAGTATCAAGATTAAGTTGTTTCTGAACCAACAAAATTGTTTATAAGCTGCAAGCATTATAGCACTAATACGTTACTGTTACTAACCTTAAAAAGTTATTTAGCCAAGAGATTTGGAGGCTGATCATGTATTATAACGAACACAGCGCACAGTGAGCCAGTGGTGGTGAGGTACTTACCTTGATGAGGAAGAAAAGTATGAAGTTTCTGTAGCTATCTTACTCCTGGTAACATCCAGAGAAATCTAAAAAATTCTGACCACATTTGACAGTGCACACTAGTCTCCCCTATTTTTTGTTTTCTGCTGTGCCTGAGATACCATTAGATACTTTATGGGATGGTTTTCAGTTTTGTAGAGCACGTGTTAGAACTGTGCCTCAGCCCACTGTGAGTCCGTTTTCAGGTGACAGTCACCTTAAGGAAGGCTCATTAGCTATGCACATGAAGTCTTTCAAAACATCTGCACAAGGAAGACGAGGCTAAGGGAAACTTCTGAGGAGCTCAGCTGCACATGCAAGGTACACAACATATGCACCCAGGGGTGACTTTACAAAGCAGTTTTGTATGTTCACAGAACAGCTCCTACCAACTTTCTGTAAAGCTGACAGCGTGCATCCCCCTTCCAAAGTCTCAGGCTGAGTAGCCAGAGAGGAACGTGACCAAAGAATGAATTAGAGGTCCTAAAGTACATCCAGAGGAACTCCATGGCAAAGGTACTAACAGAAGCCTTTCCGCATCACCTTCAACTTCCCTTTCTCTTCCCGCATGCCAGTACGGTATTTCCAAGCCCCTTACTACACCTAAGGTTAAAGCAAGGCTCCTAGGGACAACTTACATAGCTGACTCATTCCCAAACCATGGGTAGGGGAGAAGTCTACCACAAATATTTTTATGTGACATACAGTCATTGGGGAAAGGAACCAAAAGCTTTACTTCAACATTTTCATGCTACGTAAAATAGTATTTTAGAATTATTTTTTAAATTTTGGTTTGTAAGACATTCACTAGGAATACGAGTCTTTAACGTGAATATTCTTACTGCAGAGGTTGCACAATTGATCAAGGAGAGAGCTTACTCACTCTGAGATTCTTTATTTCCTCCTGATGTCTTAATTTTTCAAAAAATGATTGAAAAAAATCCGACCTTTCCACATGTCTAGGAGCAACACAAACAGCATCTATGTCAGCACCTGCAAAGAGATTCCATTTCTTCCATTATTGTTGGAAGTCACTTTCAAACATTAGAACTACAGTATTATTTTATAATTTTATAATTATTTTTATATTATTTTAGAACTATTTTTTATTATATTAGAACTTCTACCTTTAGTGTGTACTCCAAGTCTGTAAGAACCAAATGTAAATATTTTGCCACCAGCATTTGCTGCTACTGAAGGGGGAAGTTTCTGTGGGGAGAAGAGAAAGTTTACTTTATATTATAAAGATACATGTTGACCTATGTGCAAGTTTAATTAACATACAAGTTATTTAGAAAGACTACAACAGCCTCCATAAACAATGTCTTCTCAACTCTAGTAGACTGATACTGTTTTTTCTGAAGCAAGTGCTTGCAACTTAAAAAAAAGTATGAGTAATGTAGTAGTCCTTTTATTATTTTACACAAATGAAGACCTATTATTAGTCTTCCCTGCAGCAGCTGCACATAAATTAACACAATTTCAGAGCTATACAAAAGGTAAGTCTAATGTAATAATTTCAAACTAGATTGAGTGCTGTAAGCTGTTTGGGGCAAGCTTAGTGCCCATTTATCATTTATCTCACCCTACAATACATTGTTTCAGCTTTCTTAGCTGCTACTAGTCTACTTATAGAGCCACTTCAAATTTATTCGGTGCTCCAAAAACTTCAGAATTGTGATCTGAAGTATCTTTTATTCCTTATTTCAATGGCAGTAACTACAGCTGTACTGAATACTTAAGAAAGTTAAAAGTTGAACTTTAGCACAAATCCTAGTAGTATGCCCTTTAAAATAAATAAAAAGGCTTCAGTTGTTTCGATAAGAACATATAAAAAATGCTTACCTTGCTCTGACCAAGCTCTGAAATCCACTCTTTGACCAAGTTATTCAGTTTACCAAGAACAACTTGCCTGTAAAAAAACCCTCATGTTAAGTTTGCCCTAAAAAACTCAAGAGGTTAACAAATTTTACAGTTGTGTTATACCTGTGATTCAGTTCTTCCTTATCTTCAAATACCCCAAATGGCTTCATTGCTTCAACTAGCTTCTGAGTATGAATGTAATCTATATCCTTAGGAGGAGCCAAGCTAATCGGAGAGGTAATTCCATAGTGCCTTTGAGGCTGGTTCTGCCGCTTAGAAGTACTGAGGGAGAAAATAAAATACTGAAGATTGCACAAAAAAAAAAAAACCACAAAAACCCCAATAAACACACCATACTGGAAAACACCCTTCAGCTTACAGGTTTCCAAATCAACTTCTGCTCTTTTACCCAACATTAAGATAAACGAGGGAAAAAGAAAAAAAAAAAGCTGCTTGTGATTTTTAGATAACTTGACCTAATTTGTAAGTCACAACTACTTAAAAAAAAAACAAACCCAAACATTTGTGAATATAAGAAAAGATACAATTTTCTGCCAACCATATCCTGGGCTGCATTAAGAGTAGTGTGGCCAGCAGGTTGAGGGAGGTGATTCTCCCCCTCTACTCCGCTCTCATAAGGCCCCACCTGGAGTGCTGTGTCCAGTTCTGGAGCCCCCATCACAAGAAAGACATGGACCTGTTAGAACGAGTCCAGAGGAGCCACGAGGATGACCCGAGGGCTGGAGCACCTCTGCTGTGAGAACAGGCTGAGAGAGTTGGGGCTGTTCAGCCTGGAGAAGAGAAGGCTCTGGGGAGATCTTACAGCAGCCTTCCAGTACCTGAAGGGGCTACAAGAAAGCTGGGGAGGGACTTTTTACAAGGGCATTTAATGACAGAACAAGGGGAAATGGCTCTAAACTGGAAGAGGGGAGGTTTAGATGAGATATTAGGAAGAAATTCTTCACTGTGAGGGTGGTGAGACACTGGCCCAGGTTGCCCAGAGAAGCTGTGGATGCTCCCTCCCTGGAAGTGTTGAAGGCCAGGTTGGATGAGGCTTTGAGCAACCTGGTCTAGTGGGGGGTGTCCCCGCTGATGGCAGGGGGGGGTTGGAACTGGATGATCTTTAAGGTCCCTTCCAACCCAAACCATTCTATGATCTTAATAGAACTTATTTGAGCAACCTGATCTAGTTGAAGGTGTCCCTACTCACTGCAGGGGGGGCTGGACTAGATGACCTTTAAAGGCCCATTTCAATCCAAACCATTCTATGATTATTTACATTACTTTAGCCAGTTAGAACTGATCACCAGGAAATTAAAAGGTTTGAAATCCACTAAGGCTGGCACTACATACAACAGAAGTTTTGGATGTATTTCCATTTCGTATCAGTTTATACGGATATAAAGGATATTCCCATCAGTTTATTTATAAGGATATCCCTTATTTATAAGGATATTCCCATCAGCTTCCTGCTAACATTAAACAAGACAATTTAACACTGACTTCTTTTAGTTAAATGCATTTGCTGTGCTTCTACTGATTCTGGAAGGGCATTATACTTGATTGAAGAGGAAGGACATGTAATAAAGTGGTCTGTTAGACATAGTTGATGCAGTAAATTCAGTATTACCTTGGTTTTGTTTATGGCAGAGTATGAATGAAAAACATCAACCAACCTGCAGCTAATGTTGCTAGGAGAGCCTCGTGCTCTTAACACAACGTTCAATTTTTATAGTTCAGAGCCTTAACTGCATGTACACCTGTTTTATCTAAATCCAAGAGATGTATGTCAGCATATAAAGCAGAGCAAGTTAAACTCTGTTTGTAGAGGCTGCTCAAATCTGGCTAAGCTAGCTCACTGCCCAGTTAGGCTGAGCAGGACACCAGGCACCTGGGTTTGGCAGCCTACGAGGTTACTACCCCTGGAACTCCAGTTACAGCAAGGTATACTTTTCTCCTCCAACCCTCTGCTTGCCTTGAGGCTGAAGACTTAATTGCAATCAGAAGCAGCAGAGAACTGACATTTCAGGACAACATTAAATTAAAGGCTGCATTAGCACTTTTTTTTTTTTTTACACCATACAACCCTTGCTTTTTAGAAAGGGAAAAACGGAGAAAAAAACCCAAACCCTACTTTGCATCACCAGCTGAAACCAGGAAAGAGAAAGGAGTGGGACAGGAGGTAAGAATTGTACTTAATGGGTCCAAGCTCTCTATAGAAACACCAGCAGCAGAAGGGGGAGACACATTAAAGGTCTGTGCAACTCATAATGCTTGTCAGAGAGTCCGTATCCACCCCCCAAGGCTAAAGTGATTAGTTACACCATTAACTCAAACTGGGTATTTTTCTACTTCACATACAACCTCAAATATTAGGTGGGTTAGTTAGATGCTTATAACTGTTTAAGGTATCCGACCCATTTCAGCTGGAATGGGGTTAGTAAACACTCAAAGGACAGCTCCAACACTTGATTTAAGAAAAGATAGCTTATTACATCCAGCTCCTTATTTCTAAGGGTTGCCTTTACTCTTCCACTGAAGGAAGATGGACTTTCTCTCAGAGTAGATTTATCCAACTACAGATGTAGGTTTTAGTCACCTAGTGGGGTTGTTTTTTCACCTTCTAATCTATGATCTCATTTTTCCAAATTTCTTCTATTGTTTACAAAAAGCGGGGCGGGGGTTATTAGGACTCTAGTCCTATCGACTAGTCTCCCCAGTCAGAATGGCTAGTTACTTACAAGTGTAACTAGCCCTTGACCTAATTTGCCTTCCCTCATTTATAGTCATTGTCGACTTCCATTTCATAAGTAAAAATATTAATAATTAATATTTTCCTACTTATGATATAATTTTCATAACAAATACAGAAGGAAAGCCTGTGTTTAACTGCTGTGCATTGCATCTAAATTAAAACACCCACAGCTGCATTTTCCCACATGCTTTATGTATTCCTTGCATCGTACAACTTGCACTTCACAAAGTTTGCACAAAACAAGAATGGGTTTTAGATTTTCCTAGTATTCAAGATCTTCCCAGCGTACAGAAGGCCACTAGCTTTGCCCCATTTGTCCTACAGAGACTGTAATTACAGACTGACATAAAGGACAATATCAATTCAATATATCAGATATTATTAATATCAAATTATTTTAGGCTATAGTAGATATTTTTTCAGTTTCTTCTATGTATTACCAAAAGTTTGATCTCACACTTAAAAGGAAAATGGTACTTGGAAAGTTTTATTGAAAGAGTGAATTATGCCCAACATAATTTGTTCCTAGTTTAGAATAAAAAAAAATAAATTAAAAAAAAAAATCTTATTTCTCTCTCTCAGGTGTGCCAGACTGCCAGGCACATACAAAGAGGGGATCTTAAGAGATAAACACAGCACACCACCTATTCGCCCATCAGCCTTCTGTTTAGAAGAGAAGCCTGTTGCAGTTTATCACTTCAGCTTCTTCCACCCTCGCCACTTGGGAGGAGGAATGACTGGAAATCAGCTCCTGAATCACCAAAGCTGACAGCACAGGAAAAAAAAACCAAACAAAAACCCAAACCCAAACAAACTAAACCCACAAAAATCCCCCCAAGCCCCAAACCAAACCGACC